AGGGAGCTGGATTTGGCCCCGTAGTGCCTGCAGCCGTACACCAGGCTGCTTGAGAAACCCTCAATGACCTCAGTTAGGCAAGCTTTACTTAATTTTGGTCCGTGTGGGATCCATCGGAAATCCTGTGCCTCCTGTCCACCACAAACACAATACATTTCAATAGTCAATGACCAAACTACATTCATAGTCTTTCTGCATTAGACAACCTGCTCATACCGTTCACCTGAAGATATTTGTACAGGACGAATGAGTGATGCAACAATAAGAGTGCAGGAGAATGAAGATTTCAAATAAAGTATTTTGTTCATTGAATTAAACACTAACTCAACACACAAACATTACTTTACACATCCAAGTGAATCCTCTTGTACACCTTTTAAGTCTTTCTCAGCTGCTTCCTACCACTCCTGTGTAGGACAACCATTGTGGTTTCAGCAGAACAGGGTGCAGGCTGCTCATTCTGTGTCCATTTCTTTGGGCAAGAGTCCTCTCCCCATCCCACAGAAACCTTCACCCAGTTCCAACACTCTCTCTCAACCTGGACTCCTCCCTCTGGCCTTTGACCTGCCCTCGATCTGTTCATTGAGAACTCTTGATGTGAAATTGTTCACCTCAATTTCTCTGCTCCCCCTCACCAAATCCAACCTATCTCCCTCCGAACCGACTGCACTCGATGCACTTAGATCTAACCCTGACTTTGTTATTAAACCTGCCGATAAGGGTGGTGCTGTTGTAGTCTGGCGTACTGACTTCTACATTGCAGGGGCTGAGCGCCAGCTCTCAGATATCTCCTCCTATCTTCCCCTGGACCATGACCCCAACATGATGCATCAGGCCATTGTATCAACTACGGTAACTGATCTTATTTCAACTGGTGACCTCCCAACCTCACTGCCTCCAAGCTGATAGTCCCCCAGCCCCACACAGCTCACTTCTACCTCCTTCCAAAAATCCACAAACAGGACTATCCGGGTAGACCCATTGTTTCAGCCTGCTCCTGTCCCTCAGAACTCATCTCTTCCTACCTTGACTCAGTCTTCTCTCCCCTGGTCCAATCCCTGCCCACATACATCCGTGATTCCTCTGATGCCTTACGCCGGTTTCAAAACTTCCAGTTTGCAGGTTCCAGCTGCCTCCTCTTTACCATGGATGTGCAATCCCTTTACATGTCTACTCCCCACCATATTAGTTTCAGGGCTCTTCGTTTCTTCCTGGAGCAAAGACCTGAACCGTCCCCACCCACAACCACCCTCTTCCGCTTGGCCGAGCTCATCCTCACCCTCAACAACTTCTCTTTTAACTCCTCTCATTTTCTTCAGGTCAGAGGGGTGGCCATGGGTGCTCACATGGGCCCCAGTTATGCCTGTCTCTTCATAGGGTACATGGAACATTCCTTGTTCCAGTCCTATTCTGGCCCCCACCCACAACTCTTTCTCCGATATATCAATGATATCATCGGTGCTGCTTCCCTCTCTTGTCTGGAATTGGAAACGTTCATTGATTTCGCTTCCAATTTCCACCCTGCCCTCACTTTCACCTGGTCTATCTCTGACTCCTCTCTTCCCTTCCTCGACATTTCTGTTTCCATTTCTGGGGATAGACTGGCCACTAATATCCACTATAAACCCACCGACTCCCACAGCTACCTGGACTATACATCCCCACACCCTGCTTCCTGTAAAGACTCCATCCCATTCTCTCAGTTCCTCCATCTCCATTGCATATGTTCAGATGAGGCCAATGTTGTTAAGGGGAACCTCCAAAATGT